GGATTAAAGGAAAAGCAAAGGGAGAAAGAATAAAAGAAATATAGGATGAATGAGTTATATTTTTAGAATATGTTTAGTGAAGAGTTGCACAATGGTAACATGAATATAGCAGTTGAGCTGTTTCTAACAAAGGGCACTGGGACTTTCCCTGATTCCACTGGAATTTGTCCTACACTATAGATAGTGCCAGTCCTTCTATAAGAAGGTTCTTCTATGTATGGCTAAGAGAATGCCTCCCGCCCACCTTTAGAATGCATTCGATTGAAACAAATGGTACATATTTTTTAAAAAGTCTCCTGAAGAAAGACAGCCTTGGATTCTCTGGAAGGTAATTTGTGGTACATAGCAATTTATGAGTTGCTTATTCTTCCTTGAATCTCCCAACTCAGCCCCAGAGATATTTAGAGTGAAATGCAGGATGCCTCATGTTCTGGAAAAGTTAAAAGTATTACGCTTACATGGGAATCCTGGGGAGTGCATGAGAATCTAATAATCTTTACAAGATAGAAAGCCTGTCCTGCAGTTTCCATTACTGTTATTTGTACCATTACTATTATTTGTTCAGCCACATTGTGTTATACACCTGACCAAACTGGCAGTGTTCCCTGTGTTGTTATGGTAGCATTGAGAATAAGTGAGAGTAAAACTGAAAATATGACGGGCAGCCTAGAATAAAAAAAAGGTCATGCAGTTACTTGTTATGCACACATGAATTTGCCAAAAGATTGTACAATACGTACAAAATCTCTGCAATTCTAGCGTGTTAACATCACCTTTCTTGGTGAAGTGTTTCCTCATGAAACTTCCTATCCTGTCCCCCGTTGCTAGCCACCATCCCTGTTTACTACCCAGCATCTAGCTCCCCAAGAAACACCTGTCTTTTTTTGCCATTCATCCAAACTAAACCCAAGACACATCATCCTGCAAGCATTTTGCACTTCTTCTCCCTGCCCCCCACCAAAAAAAATAAAAACTCCCTGCTGACTAGACAGCTGGCCATGTTCCTCTTGCAGATCCAGCCCACAGGATGAGACAGGACATTCCCTTTGTAGTGCTGCAGCCCAGTGCCCAAAGGTTCTGGTTGCTCCTTTTGAGTTAGGTGGATACAAGTGGCCAAAAATAGCTGTCTGAACATCAGAATCCAGTGGTAGCTGTATTGGCCAGGCCTCACCAATATCATGCTAATGATCATGTCCCCATCCTTCTTAAGAAGAAACCAACAGCTGCATTTGATCAGACCAAGAATTCACTTGGTTCTGAATCCTGTCTCTGGCAGCAGTCAGAGCTAGATGCCGCCTACCTAAAATATCTGCTTCTGTACTGTCTAGCTCAGCAAATTTCCACCAGGGTGCCATGAGGGCCTGAGTGGCTTGAGATCCTTTTAAGGGTGTTGCAGGGTGCCACTCAATGTTAGCACTATTAAGTGTGCAAACACAATTCACAAGATAAACCCAGAAATTCAAATAGGAATCCATAGTGGTAAAACCATTCTGACCTGATGTGGCCTCTTTGGCCGTGTCTATATGAGAGTGGACTTGTGGTATGTGACACCGCAGACCTGCCCCACACACTGCATATACAGGCATTCCCTGCACTGCTGCTTTGCAGCATGGAGGGTTTTTTGACCCCTGGAGACTCTTGGGTTCCTGGATCAAAAAACCCAGTGTCGGAAAAAAGTGGGGCAGCACACATGGCAGTGTGCAACACTCAAAACCAGAGCCTGGCTGGCTGGAGCCATGCTCTGGATGCTGGCCAGGCTCCTTGCTGCAGGAGCACTGTGGCTGCAGCTCCTGGAGGCCCCCAGGAACCCAGGTAAGGCACAGTTGCTGGTCTCAGCCTCCCCTACCCCACTCAGTGTAACCTGCCGCACACCAGAGCACACGTGGCATGGGCATTCCCTGGGCCTTATGCCTTCCTCAAGGCATAAGGTGTGTCACTGCTACTTGTCCCCAGAAAAACACACGGTCATTTTCTCTAGGATTTCTCCATAGTCAAACACAAGTGAATGCAAAGGGCTCGTATTTTCTGATGGATGCCTTGAGCCTAGAATGGGGAGGCCTTGAGTCTGTCAAGGGGTGCCATGAGTCTAAAAATGGTTGAGTACCACTTATCTACCTCATCTCAATTGCTAAAGGTTAGAGCAGTGGTTCTTAACCTTTTTAGACCCAAGGCACCCCATGTTAAATTTGAGGCACTCATCAGAAAATGCTGTTTCAGCTTTCACTTGCTTTTTGACGATGGAAACATACAGCCGTTCTTTTATTGCGAAGAACTCAGAAAGACCACAACAGGGTACAGTGTTTTTAAGGGTACAGATTCCTTGGTGTAATTTCTGGGTACATCACGTCTATCAAACTGAATGAACTAGTAATGGGTGGCCATGCCCCACAGATGAACTGGCCATGTTGCAGTCCTCCACCACCCCAGGATGCAGTGTCCCTTTCCTTACTCTCCTGTTCTGGGTGGACAAACTTTCCATCCCCTGAATCCTACTGCCCAGGCACCAAGCCAACATCTCCTGCCTTCCTGGGGAGTGTGACCTGCCCTTCCCCATGGATATAACCATGCTAACAGCCTACTGTTCCCTCTCCCTCCCTCCAGCTACATCCCCCCAACATGCAGAGCAGAGCATGTCCTAGCTCACCAGGACAAGTAGCAAGTCTCAGCAGGAAGTCCCAGCTGTAGCTCTCTGCTCACCAGCCTGCCAGCAGTAAGTCACAGCTGGGAAGGTGGGGAATAGTCAGAGAAGGCTTTTAGTTGGAAGGTGTGATTGCCTCCAAACTCAAAGTAGCACTAACACTGATCAGCATTTGAGCAACACAAAGTCCAACATGTAGCAAGGCCCTTTTTCTGCAGCCTGCCTTGCTGCTACCTGAACAACCCCAGGCATTTGGACACCCCATAGCCTGAATGGTTTCTCAATACAACCATGCTTGGTGCCGGCCTTGAGGGCAGCCCCAGCCTTACCCCTGGTCCGGGCCTCTGCTGGCGGCTCCTATATGAAGCCATTGCCACAGGTGTGTATCTGGCATGGTTTATGGATGCTCCTGACACCTGCCCTTTCTGTGAGCAGAGGAAGACTGTGGAGCAGAGGGAGACCATGGAGCACACCTACCTGTAGAGGGAGATGGTAGAGCACACCTACCAGGCTGCAGCCCCTTCACAGCCTCCTCCAGAACCTCCTGCTGGGGTTCTGCCTGCACTACTCCCTACACCTTTTAGTCTGTGCACTTCCCATCCACAGCCCCACCAAGTCCTGGGACCTCCTCATCAACCTCCTCCTGGCTGTAGCCAAGCTAGTAATATACTGCACCAGGAAGGAGGCTCTGGGCAAGAGGACTTTGGGGACTGTGGGCCTGCTTTCCTGTCCCTGATGTGATCCCATCTCCAGGCAGAGTATCACTGAGCAGTGTCCACTGGCACCTTGGACTCATCTGAGGGCCTGTGAGTGCTGTCCAGTGTGCTCTGCTTGGTGTCTACCCTTGGCACTCTTGTTATGAACCTTTGACCTCTGCTCCTGTCCCTGTTTTCATTATTATTTGTCCCAAGTAACCAGTCAGACATCACTAGTGGCCCCCAGTACTAAAAGAGAGCTTATAGTTTCCTTGGTGGGCCTGGGCTCATGAAATCCCCTGATGTGTTAAAGTCCTGTCCCTGGCGTGATCCTTTCTCTGGGTAGAGTACCACTGGGCAGTGTCTGCTGGCTCCTTGGACTCATTTGAGGGCCAATGGGTGTTGTTCGGTGTGCTCTGCTCCATGTGCCCCCTTTGGGCACTTGTTTTAAACCTTTGACCTCACTCCCATCCCTATTATGTCTTTAGTTGTCCCCAGAAATCAGTTATTTTCTACCTAGCCGCCTCCCTTTTTTAACGGGGGCTTATAGCGTTTCCTTGTGGGTATTGGCCTGCATTACTAGCTGAGGGACACTCTCAGGGACTGCTTTCCTGTCCCTTGTCTGCCAGGGTTGCTGACTGTTTGAATCTATTCCGGGAGGTTTCCAGAACTCCAACGTGCCCACGACACAATGCCAACCTACCCACATGCTAGCATATATCAGTTATGGGTTATGCTTACGGACATGTAGACTTTATGGCAGGAAGACATATGCATGTTCCTATTACATTTTAAAAACCTACCAGCCTACAGCATAAATTAGATTCAACCTTTAATAATTATTTTAACTAATGTCCTATCAGTTAACTCCTGGGTGACTCTCAGCAGTCTCCTGGAGATTTACATCTAATTCCTGGAGACTCCAGGGCACTCCTGGAGAGCGGGCAACCCCTAAATGTGCCCACTCACCGCTGTCTACTCAACCCTTAAATGTGTCTGCCCAACCCTAAATGCATCTGCCCAACCCTTTGTCTGCTTACCCCATGTCTACTCAACCTGTAATGTGCCAGCTCACCTCCCTAAATGTGCCTGCTAGCCCCCTAAATGTCTGCTGAACCCTAAATGTGTCTGTTCAACCTGTAATGTGCCTGCTCACTCCCTAAATGTGCCTGCTCACTCCTGTCTGCTCAACCTGTAATGTGCCTGCTCACCCCTAAATGTGTCTGCCCAACCCCAGAGGTGCCTGCTCACTTCCCCGGCAGTTTCCCTGGGGCGCTCGGGGGGTCCTCCCTCGGATCCCTCACTCTGACCCTGTGACCTCCCCCGCCTTTGACCGGGTCCCAAGAAAAGGAGCCGGGAGTTTCCCGGGGAGGCTTTATGGTTCTTGGCGGCGGCCCCGCGCCCGGTCCGTTGCAGACAGGCCCGCGGGCGCCGGGCCGGGAGCCGAGGGGCA